TGTACGTAGAAGAAATATTTGTTATGTAGAAGAAATATTTTGTATGCAAAAGAAATATTTCCTGTATAGAAGGAATACTGAGAGCAATTTAATGTCTCGGCTGGCTTAGAGAAATTAGGCGAGCGCCGCGAAGTACAGTAAATTCTCCCCAATTTTCCTTTAGCTTGCAAGCAAAAATGGACAATGTATGAAGAAGAGACACGATTATTCGAGTCTAGCAGCTCATTTTTAGAATTGTCGATTGTCAACAATGATAAAAACGAGGCGCGCGAGTCTGAAGGAAAATCAAGGAAAATTTACTATACACACATTGATTTTCCTTCGTTAATTTTTCAAATCGCGAGCACCGCGTTAGTTATTCCGCAAACGTGTTCCTGTTTCGCAGAAACGAAGACTCGTTCTTATTCGCAGAACCGCTCGCAGTTATGCCATGAGTAGTTGGCCTTTTTAAAGTTCTATAGCCCCTTTACAGAATTACACGGCGTGTAAACCGCGTTTGTTATCTCGCCGAGCAGAGCGTGGCTATTATAAAACACCTTGAACTTTGCCACCCCGCTTCTAATTCCAGCGCTTCCTCGGAACCAGAGCCAACAAACGAATGCGAAGTATAATTATTCAGAATAACCGGAATTCCAACCAAGAGAGCCCTGGCTACCTTTATTTCCCCCGTTAATTAATAGCGCCGCCGGTAATGCCGGTAATTAGAATCCTCTTCACTGTTCTATCCACCGCGAAACGAAAGCACCGTTCGAATGCGTTCGACGCGCCGCTAAATAATAATTATTCCCGCTGCCGTTGCACAATGATACGCCAGCGGCGATTATTTATCGGCTGCTCGAGTCGCTCCAGTCAGCCGTGAAGCGGGATAACCAGTCGAGCGAAGCTGTCGAATCGTTTCGATCGCCGGGGAAATCGGCGCGCGTTATTAACGTGCTCGCGATATTAGGAACTTGCTTTCGGTTCTTGCAGATCCCAGGCCCTCCGGGCCCGTCCTCGGGACACGATTTCGAGATCCAGGATCTCGACGATGTCCTTTAATCTCGTGCTGTTTGCATGCCTCCCCTCGCGACGAGACAAACGCAGCCAGGCGGCGATTTCGCCGTCCTGGAAAATTCAATTACGCCCGGACGCGAAAAACGCGGCTTGCGGCCGCCATCCCTACCTGCCGATCGATAGGGCCACCTTGCCAAATTGGCTTGCCGGAGGGTCGCTCAGTTTTTTCGAGCGATTAGTCGCGGGACGCGAATGATCTTCGGCGAAACGATGATCTTCGTGCAGTTGCACGTGTTGGTGCATTGTACAGTTTACCGAGATGTCTGAACACGAAATTGGTACAGTTTGCTATCAGAAACTGGCGATAAGGGATGTTTTGTTAAATTGATTTGTGTCTTGATATTCGTGGTCTTCGGTCTTTCAAACAGGAATCAATGTAGAAAGAGAAGACTCTTCTGTAAAATGCATATCTTCGTGCAGTTGCATTCGATGGTGGATGATGTGCAATGTAAATAATTTACTGGGATGTCTGAATATAAAATTGGCACGATCATCAGTTAAAGACATCGATTAAGAAGTGTCTTGTTAAATTCATCTGTGTGTAAAGTCTTCTGTCTTTCAAGCAGAAATTAATCTATGGAAAAAATGATCGTTAGTAATGTTCAGGTTTTCATGCTCCAATGAAAAAAATAACAATGCTAGTAAATAAGGTTCAACTGGAAGGATTTATTGAGACATGTTAACGTGGATTGAACACTGTTATTTACTTATCAAAAATGTTGATTAGGATGTGTCTTCATATATTAGTTTGCGTATAAAGTTCTCTTAAACAGAAATTATTGCGAAAAGTGAACAGTCTTCAGCAAAGTGCATATCTTCATTCAGTTGCAGACGTTGTGGTGGATGTATTTCAGTGAAATCAATATATTGACGTCTTTATACAAAAATTTTGTTCATCAGCCAGAAAGAGATCTTCCTCATAATTTCTATTACTATAGACTGTTCCACAAAATCCAGAATAAAGACAAAATTTCTATTATTGTCTAAGAATCTCAGTCTAATAGCAACAAAGAAACAGAAATTATTTATATGGTATTTCAAGAACTTTCGTCTTCCACATGCTTAATTTTAACAAATAGATAATTAATCGAGCTTACATAAAAAAATTTACCACTTCTCATTCGATAAATATAAAGTTAATTATGCTTGAAAATTATCTAAAAGCACAGTAATTATCTATCGTACAGTAACTGGCTCCCGAACCTTATAAAAACAATATCCGATGCAATCGCTGCGATATTAGTATGCCACACAATATTCTTCTAAAAATCTACAATCGCAAGGAACATCGAAGCAAAAAGCTTGACGAGTCTCTGCGACGATAGAAGCAAAGATGGAGTCGTCGGAGCAGCCTGGAAGTTGGCATACGGAACAATGGTGGTCCACGGAGGAGGTCAGCGGCCATTCCCTGATGATATTGATTAGCCGACGCCCTTAGTTAGCGCCGGCTACACTTTCTTCGGCCCGCTCGCTTTTCCTCTCGCTCTTGTCTGCCTCTCTGTAAACGTTTCCACCAGCGTCCCTCTTGCCTCCCCTGTTCCAGCGCCGCTTCTACCAACCCCCTCTTTGCTCTCGGTGAAACTTTCTCTGGTCCGTCTTCTCTCCCTCGTTAGCGGCCTAGAAAGAGATGGGGTGCGAGATGCTGATAAAGAGAGACGGCACTATTGCCGCCGCGACTAAATCATTCATCAAGCAAATAATACCGGGTCTGAGTCACGACTCACGCATGCGGGGGTGGCGCGCGGTATTTGCGTGTTTCCGTGGCTTCGATGCGTCACGTACGGGGTGGCTGGGAAATCCGCAGTTGACGGCTGCACCGTGATTCTACGGCCGTGTATCGTTTTAGATCTTCTAGCCACGATATCAGATTTGTATTTCTTCATTCGGACGATTTTTACTGAAATTTCACTCGCTTATACGTGATCCAGCAATTTATGGCTTTCCTTCGATATGTAATTGTATTAACATAATTTCGTTCAAGTGTTTGATCTGTTTGTAGTACGAGTAAGTGCTACATTGTTTAATTTACGATATTATGAACAATTTCTATATCTAGTATAATTTTTATATTATTTATTATATGAACACAATATAGGTACAAGGAGCCTATTCTGAATAGCATTCGTGTAATACGAATATAATGTGAAGCTATAAAAGTAACGTAAGAAGTAGATAGTTTTTTTTATTATAGTATCTCCGAATGGTCAATACTTGAAGAGTTAATAAAATCGTTGCGGACTTATTCAATTTTAAATAACGAAAGTTCAGAAAAATCGCTATTATCGTCATAGAGAATGAAAATATTAATTCTTGTACAGTACAATGTTCATAGACTGTAATGTTCATAGATTTATGTAGAGTAAAAGGTTCATAGAATTGTGTACAGTACAATATTCATAAAATTGCGTACAGTCTAATGTTCATAAAATTGTGTACTCTGCAATGTTCACAGATTTATATACATAGAAGATTTATTTCATAGAATTGTGTACGGTACAATGTTCATAAAATTGTGTACAGTACAATGTTCATAAAATTGTGTACAGTACAATGTTCGTAGATTTGTGTAGAATAAAAGGTTCACAGAATTGTCCGGAGTACAATGTTCGCATAATTGTGTCTAGTACGAAATTGAAGACGAGGTTGGCATGGATGATTAACGAACGAAAATTCGATACACCCCGTAGATATAAGGGAGCCGTTCCGCGTCTCTGTAATTAGACACTGCAGCGTGGAGCAGCATCCAAAGGCAGGCATTGTTCCCCGAAATTAAGGGAAACGGGGGAAAAGCCGGGAAAACTGGCAGGAATAGGGGATTCGGAGGGTTGCTAATTACGCGGAGTCCGTCAAGGGGGAGGAAGCCATTTTCTGCGCAGACACAAAGACCCCCGACGCGAGTTATACTAATACGGAGACCCGGGGAAGGGGAATTTGTTTCGGGAAACTCCTTTTGCAATTTGATCATGCGCCCTGATAACGCTGCGCCGCCGCCGCCGCCGCCGCTGCTGCCACGAATAATTTTCTCGCCGGCCGTTTTCGCTGCCGGTCGAACTTTCTCTCCTCCTCGTTAAGCCGTTTTCTTCATCGGGTAAGGTGGATTTCGAAATTCGTTAATGTAGCGGTAATTTCGAATTTCTATTTTAACCCAGTTATTTGTTTGCCGAGCGGTGCTCTTCGATTGGAGGATCAGTTTAACCCTTAATTATATCACGCAACAGAGCTGTGGGTGCAGTTCCTGCGAATTTCTTGCTGGAAAATTAACGGCGTTGCAGAAATCTAATTTTCTAGATGTACATGGATACGTCATTGATCTATGGAATGACATTTTTTAATTTGCATTTGTTTAATTAGTGGAGAGTACGCGGTCGATCCATTCGTAAAGTCGTTACGAATTGTGAACGTGATAATTAGCGAAATAAAGATATAATGAAATAGTTACGAATTGGAATTATTCATGACGTTTTTAATGTCTCTGCAAATTTGTTAATAAATACTGAAACATTGAGGTTATGTATTATATAACCTATAATGTACTTTATAATATATAATAAAAGTATAGATATTTTATTTTATTTATATTAAAATATTATATCTTATCATATATTATAATATTATATATTAAAATATTATATATACGCAACCCCCTAACGTTACATATACCGAAAAATAGGAGGTGGTCGTTGTAGGGTGCAACAAACGTAGTAATTTATTTTTACGAATACGACAATACATTTTCAGGAGCACAGATTTTTAATTGTTGTACTTTCGTTTTGTATAGAAACATAATTAATATTTAAAGCCTGTAACACAAGAACTTCAGATGGAATCTCGATTCAATACGAAAATGAATTGTCTGGATAAATTGTTTGATACGGAAATCAATTTCTCTTCGCGGTGTTGGGGCCGGTGCCAGGTGATGTGATATTAATCGTATCGTTCTTTTGCAGGTAAAGTTTGGATAGGCGATAACGAGGTCGCGTGGCCGACCGAGCAGTCTTTCAAGAGGACCTCACCCCTAAATCCCTGCGCCTCTACGACTACTACGACGATGACAGGTGGCGGAACNAATTGTGTACGGTACAATGTTCATAAAATTGTGTACAGTACAATGTTCATAAAATTGTGTACAGTACAATGTTCATAAAATTGTGTACAGTACAATGTTCGTAGATTTGTGTAGAATAAAAGGTTCACAGAATTGTCCGGAGTACAATGTTCGCATAATTGTGTCTAGTACGAAATTGAAGACGAGGTTGGCATGGATGATTAACGAACGAAAATTCGATACACCCCGTAGATATAAGGGAGCCGTTCCGCGTCTCTGTAATTAGACACTGCAGCGTGGAGCAGCATCCAAAGGCAGGCATTGTTCCCCGAAATTAAGGGAAACGGGGGAAAAGCCGGGAAAACTGGCAGGAATAGGGGATTCGGAGGGTTGCTAATTACGCGGAGTCCGTCAAGGGGGAGGAAGCCATTTTCTGCGCAGACACAAAGACCCCCGACGCGAGTTATACTAATACGGAGACCCGGGGAAGGGGAATTTGTTTCGGGAAACTCCTTTTGCAATTTGATCATGCGCCCTGATAACGCTGCGCCGCCGCCGCCGCCGCCGCTGCTGCCACGAATAATTTTCTCGCCGGCCGTTTTCGCTGCCGGTCGAACTTTCTCTCCTCCTCGTTAAGCCGTTTTCTTCATCGGGTAAGGTGGATTTCGAAATTCGTTAATGTAGCGGTAATTTCGAATTTCTATTTTAACCCAGTTATTTGTTTGCCGAGCGGTGCTCTTCGATTGGAGGATCAGTTTAACCCTTAATTATATCACGCAACAGAGCTGTGGGTGCAGTTCCTGCGAATTTCTTGCTGGAAAATTAACGGCGTTGCAGAAATCTAATTTTCTAGATGTACATGGATACGTCATTGATCTATGGAATGACATTTTTTAATTTGCATTTGTTTAATTAGTGGAGAGTACGCGGTCGATCCATTCGTAAAGTCGTTACGAATTGTGAACGTGATAATTAGCGAAATAAAGATATAATGAAATAGTTACGAATTGGAATTATTCATGACGTTTTTAATGTCTCTGCAAATTTGTTAATAAATACTGAAACATTGAGGTTATGTATTATATAACCTATAATGTACTTTATAATATATAATAAAAGTATAGATATTTTATTTTATTTATATTAAAATATTATATCTTATCATATATTATAATATTATATATTAAAATATTATATATACGCAACCCCCTAACGTTACATATACCGAAAAATAGGAGGTGGTCGTTGTAGGGTGCAACAAACGTAGTAATTTATTTTTACGAATACGACAATACATTTTCAGGAGCACAGATTTTTAATTGTTGTACTTTCGTTTTGTATAGAAACATAATTAATATTTAAAGCCTGTAACACAAGAACTTCAGATGGAATCTCGATTCAATACGAAAATGAATTGTCTGGATAAATTGTTTGATACGGAAATCAATTTCTCTTCGCGGTGTTGGGGCCGGTGCCAGGTGATGTGATATTAATCGTATCGTTCTTTTGCAGGTAAAGTTTGGATAGGCGATAACGAGGTCGCGTGGCCGACCGAGCAGTCTTTCAAGAGGACCTCACCCCTAAATCCCTGCGCCTCTACGACTACTACGACGATGACAGGTGGCGGAACACCGGCACTCCCCCACCTGTCGCCACCCATAGCCGCCCCCGTGACCACTCCCGATCACAGAAGCCCCAGCAGCCTCCACGTGAAACTCGGCATTTCTCCTGGTGAGTAGCCAGATTGCAATTAGAATCCACCGAATCGTCTCGAGAGCAAAGGATTAATCAGTAACCGTGTGCCCTTGACAGGGAAGACTCGCATTGAAGCAATTATACTTGAAAATTCACCCTTTAGATATTAATCTGGAGGATCGGAATAGTGCGAAAAATTATTTGCAAATCGAGAAACAAATTGAAGAGTTTTCCTTTTATAAAATAAAAAACGCATAAATTACATAGTCTTGTACACTCTTAATTTATAGTATAACATATATTTAGACCTCTTTAAATAATTTGGAGGCCTCGGAACAGTGGTAATTATTATTTGAATATAGAAAACTAAATTAATATGGAAGAATTCTGCACCTCCAAAATAAAAAGCTCGTACTAATTGCTTAATTTGTAATATCAGATTCATTGCAACGGATAGCAAAAGTAAAATTGAAGAAAATTGGAAATTGATATTGCATAATCACCTCTCTTTAAATATTTATTGAAAACCCCCAGAATGGGTCTAAATTAAATATAAAAAATGAATCGATATTGAAGAGTTTCTATGGTAAAATTAACGCATAAATATTTAGAAAATCCTGAAAAAAGAGAATTAGCAGAATAAAAATCAGAATATCGTAATGAGAAAATATCGCCGAATTTAATCAACCTAATAATAATTGCAAGATTTATGGGTAGTTTTACGAAAAGATTGCACGATCGGCCGAATGCAGCCCCGCGGAAAGACGAACGGGAAAGTAAAGCGTAGGACGGGTCGGCTTAAAGCGGCCAAAAGGCGAGTCTCTTTAAATAATGCAATAAGCTTGATGTCATTTGCCGGACAATGGGCGGAGTTCCTTTTACGGGAAAGGTCCAGCGAAATTGCCCCTCGCAGGTGCGTGCTTCCGACCCTCGACAAAACGTGACTCGACCAATCACGATCCTCTGATTCGCGCCGCCTTCGGCTTCATCTGGTGCATCGATAATGAGAAGCGATAACAATTACGCTTCTTACTCGTCCGTCCTCGGACCTCCGATTACATCTCGACAATTTTATTCGGGCCGTAACGATGCTAATAGACTGTTTCTTATTATCACTTTGGATTCGACTTCCGGGCTTCGCAACACTGTCTTTGGGGAGAGTCCCATAAATTCACAGCAACTCGTTCAAACGACGCCGGTGTATGTCGCGAGCGCACTGAATTAACGCGGAACAGCTTTAATTCGTGCAAGCTATATCGAACTCGAAACTGTGTCTCGTTTATTATAGTATTTGTTTATTTGGATAAAGTGTAGAAATTTATTTGCAGGAGCTAGAAGCACGTTAACAGTTTTGATTGTAATTTTAAAGAGCTCAGTCATCCGAAGAACTCGAATGATTTATGTCACTCTGATACGATTCTATTATATCCTTGAATAAATGTCGCCTGTAAAAATCAAGGTTAAATTTGTTTAACACTTTGCATTCGAATATCTCTTCTTGGAGGACGTAGCAAGACAGCTAATAATTATAATGCATTCAAGATTAAATATGTCTGTTCTATGAAATCTATATTAATACAATTTTATACCGAGGTTCTATTTCATCGGAGTAATTATTTCTAACGTCATGCTGTTCTATAATTTGTTTAGTGTAATAGTTTATGTTTAATTTGGAGCGTTAGTATTTTATATTTTATTGGAAGTGTTGCTATTTGATATTTTATAGAAAGTGTTGCTATTTTATATTTTAATCGAAGTGTTGCTATTTGATATTTTAATCGAAGTGTTGCTATGTTATATTTTATAGAAAGTGTTACTATTTTATATTTATAGAAAGTGTTACTTATTTCACATTTTATAGAAAGTGTTACCATCTTACATCGTACAGGAAATTGTAAATTCCTTCGTGCAAAAGTGTAAATTCTTCGAACGCAGAGGGTTGAACCATCAAAATATCCGGCAGCCTGGAATCTCCATCAACCCCGAACAAATTGCCATACAACTCGACACTAATTCCAATTAGCTGCCTCGCGCAGCAAGTTCCACGAAGAATCGTCCTTCAAACACATGGCTAGCCATGCAGAATCAAACCAAAAGTTAAAACGCGGCTCACTCGCGTCTCAACTTTCCACCCCTATCGATCCAGCGTTAGCGCACCTTGTCCAGTGGTCGGCTCGACGGTAAATAAAGATGGGTAGTTTTCCCATCAGCGTGCACACACGCATCCCCTTATCCCGATGTCGCTCCTCTGTATGTCTCTATCCGTGTCTGTGCGTGTATGTGTGTGTATGTGTGCGGGCCAGACGGTTTTAAATTCCGCGAGTCAAAGCGATGTTTGACATGGAAATGTTGAACGATGCATTAAACATGCCGCGCGGAGTGCTTCCTCTCTTTTTCCCCGGAAAAAGGGAAACGGAACCCACCCCTCCTCCCACCCGGCGACCCCTCTGCCCCCACTCGACGATCGTATTGCCGACCAAGAGGCCCCCGGTCGGGCCCCCTATGCTATTGTTCGAGCAATGTTTATTTAAGCAAACGAAAGCAGCCGCTCCTTCGCCGAACTCCGCTCGCTTCCGGATCGATAGCCGGCGAGTTTTGCGTCGCGATGCCCCTCGTCTTGCCATTAGACACCTTCTTAGGGTTTTTAACCCTTTCGGCGCCGGCCAAAACAGTTTTTGCGTACTCGAGCGAAAAGTGAGAAACCTGTTCGATGCAGTTTGATAAAGTTCCGGAAAAAAATTCGACGAATTTTGTTAGACACGATGATTCGAGAATTCAAGGAGATAAATTAAGAAATAGAAGTGCGTTTTTATTGAAAATATTAAAGAAATAACATTCTCTAAAGTGTAGTGGACAATGATCTATCATTATTCGATACTGAAAGCGTTAATTAACCTTTGGACGGGGGATGATTCGCAGCTTTATTCGTCAATTTTTCGAAACGTATTTTTCGCTAACTATAATTAATTGTTACAGATTAGTTAGGGTTATAATAACGAGTTATAATCGCTAATAATTAATCCTAAATAAATCAGTATGGCTTAGCTGTAACAACTAACGAGTTACAATCATTAATTATTAAACTGATTGTTATACAATAGGATGTAATCCTGAATTAAGAAACCTAAAAACATATGTGCTATCATAAATAACAAATGTAGCAAGCAGATCTATGATCATTTTCATCTTACAAAAAATAGCAAGTTTGATCAGTGAACAATTGAAATATGTCTTTATGAACGAACAAATTGGATCCTTCTCTGTGTAACGCCATCTACACCGTCCACAGTATACTAAGCAATTACATCGTCTCTGAACGTGGAGCAAGGCGATCTCAGCTTTAAGGGAGACAGCAGGTCGAAGAGCAGTCCTTCGGAGTCTATTTGCCTGGCAAAGCTATCCCGCGCCTAGCTGCCAAGTGTGTTTATTCGGTATATCAATAAGGACGGAGCGGCGGAGTGCGGGGGCGAGGTCCCCCAAGGACCAAGGTCCTTGTCCGACGACGGACGGCTTGATAACATTATGTTTCTTGCGCCGACATATGCACTGCTCGGTTTTTGAAGAATGAACGGGGACACAGCACCCTAAAATGTTGCGGACCCACCGGGACATGTGTCGATGCGATGATCCTCTGGCGTCTACAGCCTCCGCCAGCCCTTTAATAGACCCACGGTGTTCCTGGAAAACGGCTGCGTATCCGACGATAAATCATTCCAATAATTAAACCGGTGCCGTGGGGCAAAGTTCGCTATTAATAATTCCCAATGCTGGATAGTTTCTCAGTCAAACGTAAGGAAACGCTTTCCCCTTTCGATCAGTTAAATCGGTAGAATGGATTTTTCTATAATATAAAAGGATACAGTGATTCCTCCATTTTAATGACTTAATAAATCAGTTGAAAATAATGCAACTTTATTTTGAAGTTGTTTAAACGCTTCTACATTTTTGTATTCGATCTTTTTTTCGGAATGATAAAGATAGTAACTGCAATTTTGCAATTTGTAACACTAGAAGGATTAAAATAATGGAAAAAATTCATTAAAAGTTCATTAAAAGTCACTAATAAAATCCTCTGTTTAGTGATCATTCTTCTTATAGGAGATCACAATTGTTACCTCTGCTTGTTCATCCATGAAATAATATGATAAAAATGTCACAATTGTTGCAAGCTTGCTGAATTAATTAAAAGGGAAGATGCATTTTTGATTCGCATCAGTTTCTCACGATTGAAACGAAAACAACATTTGAAGCTTGCTAAAGTTATTAAAAAAAGAAGATACATGTTTGAAGCTTCAGTTTTTCACAATAAAAATTAGCAAAATCATTTGAAGCTTGCCAAGATCATTAAAAAAGAAGATATGCGTTAAAGCATATTTCTCGGTGTTTCCAACGATTCTAATTAATAAAGACTCCGCGAAGCTTGACAAGATGATTAAAAAAGAAGATGCATGTAAATTCGACACCAGTTTCCCATACAGCCTTAAAAGACGTTCATACTAAGCACGGAACGATTCATATATATATAATACTAAGAGCATAATCGACGATTTAACAGTGGCCATCGGCAGGAAAGAATGTCTCGGGTTGGCCGGGCAGGATTAAAAAGCGTATTAAAAATTTAATTACATATACCGCGGGGCTAATTGGCCGGAGGACATTACGGGTGCCGCGTTCCCGGACACGTTTCTTGTGACGTAAGGCGCAGGCACGCGAAATAATGCGACCGGGTCGGTCGAATAAACGGAATTTAAATACCTCGGAGGGAAGTGACCGATCCGGAGGAGAAGAATGATAGTCCCGAGGGAGAGATACATCCGAGAACGGCAAGAAAGGATCCTTCCGTAGCGGGGACGCGTAATTTACACGCGACGGGACTACGTTACACAGTTCACTGACTTCAAAGATTACTTTTTAAGAGGCACTTGACCGCGATCCTTCTTCCCCCGTTCCTCGCGGACCTGGCCGAAGCGTGTTCGCCGATTATTTGCTGTCAGCCCTCTGCGCTCCGAACAACGACAATTATATTAATTACGGTG